CTTCTAGACACTGGCGAGGCATAGACTCGTCAGTCATTGCTCCCATGAATAGATCCCCTTCCTAGCGCCCGGAATGTAGTTACTCTAACAGCTGGTAGCTAACCACACTGCCGGTACTTGCATATCACCGTGCAACTGGCTTCTAACAATAACTCTCAGCATGTAACCGGGCCCTGTGTGTACTCATACACCAGACAGTTGAAATGGCTCCGTTACACCGGGAACCAAAAATGGGAAGGCAGATGCACTATCGCGACGGCCGGAGTACCGTCCTGAAGGGGGAGGGACGCTTGGGAAACAGCCGATAGACAGGTTCTTTGTGTTACGGGCATGCCAAGCATTTACGGGAGTGAGAGAAAGGCTAGTAGATACCCCCAATACCCTCTGATACTAATGGCAACACCACTATCAACTCTGGTTCGCACCCACGAGGTGCGGTGCGATCAATATGCGACCAAATGCGGAGTTGCGGTTTTCCTAGTTAAAAAACACGTTTTCGACCCCAATAATAACCCCCGGAGCGTCAAACCGCCGGAGGGGAGTGTTTTGGTACTGGTGGATATATGAGGGACAGCTGGAATCAACCGGATCGAAGATCGGACCGCTCGGAGCGAATCGGCGCAAGCTGCCAGCCCACCGAGTACCTATCGGCGGTACCTGTGGGCATGAGAGGACTCTGCTATGTGGGAAAGCGATGTGGGAAGAGGCCTGAGTAGGTAGCCTTGCCGTCCGAGACCTCCGAATAGCCGACGCTGACGATTACCCACCAGACGGCCGATGGAGAAGAAACATCGACAGGGAAACGTGCATTAGAGTGGATAAATAGGTTGAGGGGTTTTCAGCGGCTTTAGGAGTTTGGGTTACGGACTTAGGAGTTAAATGTTCTTGGTTGTTTTTCAGGGTCTCGGGTAGGCCCCGAGTGTATTCTGTATTATTAGTAGACTGGGTCCTCCAGACATAAGCGAGGGATATAAATACTGTGTCATTCACTGACTAGCCAATCTATCATCGGCGAAATCAGAGTCTTAACAATATAAATCGTTGATACGCGAGTTACAACTTTATTTGACTATACTTTTGGAATTACTTTAATCTATCGTGACTTCGAACTCTACCTGAACTATTACGTCGAAGACGGTCGAATTCTATACGCTAACTCTAGTGAATCTTTGTTGATAACGTAGCTCGCGGGGCCCGTATCGGATCAAGGAGAATCATACTCGACGTTGACTGAAGAGACCTTGGAGACTTCTACCTTTGTAGCTGTTAGCCGAACTCTAAGCTCTGCGTAGTGTACTCTTGTGGTCTGGTACGCATCCCTCACAGTGGGCTGAGTCTTTGGCGGAATTTGACTTCAAGATTATTTACCGCCCGGGAACCAAAAATGGGAAGGCAGATGCACTATCGCGACGGCCGGAGTACCGTCCTGAAGGGGGAGGGACGCTTGGGAAACAGCCGATAGACAGGTTCTTTGTGTTACGGGCATGCCAAGCATTTACGGGAGTGAGAGAAAGGCTAGTAGATACCCCCAATACCCTCTGATACTAATGGCAACACCACTATCAACTCTGGTTCGCACCCACGAGGTGCGGTGCGATCAATATGCGACCAAATGCGGAGTTGCGGTTTTCCTAGTTAAAAAACACGTTTTCGACCCCAATAATAACCCCCGGAGCGTCAAACCGCCGGAGGGGAGTGTTTTGGTACTGGTGGATATATGAGGGACAGCTGGAATCAACCGGATCGAAGATCGGACCGCTCGGAGCGAATCGGCGCAAGCTGCCAGCCCACCGAGTACCTATCGGCGGTACCTGTGGGCATGAGAGGACTCTGCTATGTGGGAAAGCGATGTGGGAAGAGGCCTGAGTAGGTAGCCTTGCCGTCCGAGACCTCCGAATAGCCGACGCTGACGATTACCCACCAGACGGCCGATGGAGAAGAAACATCGACAGGGAAACGTGCATTAGAGTGGATAAATAGGTTGAGGGGTTTTCAGCGGCTTTAGGAGTTTGGGTTACGGACTTAGGAGTTAAATGTTCTTGGTTGTTTTTCAGGGTCTCGGGTAGGCCCCGAGTGTATTCTGTATTATTAGTAGACTGGGTCCTCGAGACATAAGCGAGGGATATAAATACTGTGTCATTCACTGACTAGCCAAACCATCATCGGCGAAATCAGAGTCTTAACAATATAAATCGTTGATACGCGAGTTACAACTTTATTTGACTATACTTTTGGAAATACTTTATTCTATCGTGACTTCGAACTCTACCTGAACTATTACGTCGAAGACGGTCGAACATCACACGCTAACTCTAGTGAACCCTTGTTGATAACGTAGCTCGCGGGGCCCGTATCGGATCAAGGAGAACCATACTCGACGTTGACTGAAGAGACCTTGGAGACTTCTACCTTTGTAGCTGTTAGCCGAACTCTGAGCTCTGCGTAGTGTACTCTTGTGGTCTGGTACGCATCCCTCACAGCCAGGCAAGAGTTTGGTCTTCAAATCATTATGGGAATGCGGCGGCATTTCCTCAATCTTCTCTTGACTGAACACATCAGCCCAATCCCGGTATAGGTGGTGTATTTTCTCAGCAATATCACCTCCATCCTCATCATGCCATACTGAACCAACCAATTGATAGACTGTCTCTTCTTCTTCCAACATTTGGTATGGAGAGATCAGTTCAATCTTGGTGGCCGCTGGGAGACAATTCTGCTTGCAGTAGTCACTCCTCCAGCTCATGGTGTTGAGTTCCCAGTTAATGTCCGGGTTATGCTTCCTAGCCCAACTAATTGGCAGGTAACCGGTCATTCCTTCTTCCAAAGTAGCCACCTCCCATCGGAGTGTCTCCTTATGATCTCCCATAGTCATGCGGACTGGGTGAGTGTAATACTCGCCTCCTCCCATCATGACATCTCCCTGAGCATCAAACATTGTCAGAGGTTGATCTCGCCGCACTAAGGGAATTCCATGCTTCCTGACAAAACTCTGGTTGAGGATTGCTCCTGTACAACCGGTGTCAAACAGGAAAGACCCTTGGGCGCCTTCATCCTTTCCTTTGACTGTCCATGACAGTCCTGCCTTCAGTATAGGTCTTTTTCCATGTACTGGTAAGGAGGGAAGCCTCTGTTCCAACCTTCTTTGCTTAACAGCGGGTTCTGAACTTGTTTCTCTTTGTCTTTTCAACATAGCTAATAGCTTCGGGCACTACTAAGATCAGAGATCCTTTGGTTCTATTCCCAGGCGGTAATATAGCAGAAGTATTGTGTAGTGGTTTTTTTAGCAGTGGTTTTGGAAGTGTCTTGGTAGCAAATGTAACTTTGGTAGAGCACTGACAGACCAGCTGTTTCGGGTCTTAAACCCATCCTCAGAGTGCTTGGAGCAATCAAATAGGCGGAACACAATCATAATTTATTCAAGAGAAACATAGAAACCAGAAAACCCATATAAAAGAAAACTAGTAAACATAGACCCAAAACAGACACTTTTCTACCAGAGGATTTCATTGTCCGAGTCTTGCTCAGGCTGCAAAACAAAATCTTCTGTAACCTCCGGGAGTACAACAAGTGGATCTTCTGCTACTACAGCAGCCACTTTAGCCTTCTTCTGAGAATTGGACTTGCCATTCCCTCTTTTCTGCTTTTGTACTCTCACTGCTGCCACTCGGACAACAGTAGGTTCCTTGGACCAACAATCGGTCCATTTGTGTCTGGACTTGCCGCACTATTGCACAAGTCAGTCTATGCACTCTACCAATAGGGAGTACCGGAAGGTCATACCTTCAAGCATACTTCTGCTTTCCTTCTTTCTTCTAGAATATCTCCCGGGATACCCTTCAGTTCCACCGCTTTGTCTTTAGGTCCAGGAGTCTTCTGAGGTCCGGAGGAGCTCGCAGCTTCTCTTTTCCTCTTGGGCTGCTGGTCCTTCTGAGCGGGAGGATCTTTCTTGGTCCGAGGGGGCGCTTTCTCAGCTGCCATCCCTTGGTACCTCTCATGTGTGTGCCCTAACTCTCTTAGAGCAGCTATCCGCTCCATCAAGGACTTTGGCTTGGGATTAAAAAGAGCCCAACTCATGCCTAGGTCCGCAAGGAGGGAATTATTGATTTTATCATCCACCAACTGACCCTCATAGCCAGTCTTCCACATCAGCTGAATAATAGTATTCAGGAAGAGATCAATTCCTCCTCGGGCTGTGTGGGTAAGTGTATTCCATTGGGCTACAGCATCATCTCGAGAGATGGCTTCACCGAAGGCTGCTCTAAAAGCATCCACAAAGGAGTCCCAGCGCTTCCATCTCAGATCCAAAGTCACCGTCATTCCAGCAAGGCGGTTGGCGGAGGCTTGATCAATAGAATTGTGGTATGCCTCATACCATCGGATCGCTGCCTCGCCTTCCATCAAGTTGCCTGCATATCGGATCTTAACCTCCTCAGAGGTAAATGACAGGCTCTCAATGGAGAACACATTCTCACATTGCCGGATGAAAGTCTCCACTTGCTCCGCGTTGCCCTGGAATTTGGAGGGTGGTGGTACCTTTGGTTCTCGGGCCCTAGTGGAAGTAGAAGGGGGAGAGGCGGCCGGAGGTCGGTACTGCTGTGACATCATAGCAAACAAATCCTTTTGTTGCTTCTCCAACTTCTTCTTGAGATATCTCCGCCAGCCTCTTCTATCACCACCTTCTGGTTCCGAGTCTGAACTGTCAGAACTGTCTGAGTCTCCAGGAGTGGGAGCGCGGGCCACAGGAGGTGGAGGGTTCTGGTTTCCACCGCTTCCACCCTGTACATTAGCTGGAGGGGGAGCGGCGGCCACAGCAGGAGGGGCCACAGGTGCTACTGACGCCGGGTTGCTGGCCAGTGGGGAGGTTGCTGCTGGTTGAGCAGCCCCAGACATGGTGAACCTTCCCGGATTCCTGGCCAGCGGACTGGGAGGTCCTCGGCCTGCACCTGGGTAGTGTTCTCCCTCAAAATCAAAGGATCGGTCCGCTAATCCAAGGAATGGGTTTACTCCTGCAAAGTGGCTGGGAGGCAGGGGAGATGCTCCACCGCTGGCTGCACAATAGGAACAACTCTCCTAGTGGATCTGACCGGAAATGCTGCGAAGGGACTGGTCTTCCGCTGCATTGTCCTGGTGGCTTCCCTGGACGAGGACCTGGAGCCTGGATTTGGTGCCGGAGTTGCTGGTCTCCCTACCACTAGCCTTCCTTCATCAAGGGCTTTCTGTATTTCGGCAACAAAGTCTGGTGGAGTTGCCGGGTTTGTCCACTCAATCTCCATGGCATCGGCTTCCAGTTCATCTCTCTCCGCATACTTTCTGTGAGGGATGCGTACCAGACCACAAGAGTACACTACGCAGAGCTCAGAGTTCGGCTAACAGCTACAAAGGTAGAAGTCTCCAAGGTCTCTTCAGTCAACGTCGAGTATAATTCTCCTTGATCCGATACGGGCCCCGCGAGCTACGTTATCAACAAAGATTCACTAGAGTTAGCGTGTGATGTTCGACCGTCTTCGACGTAATAGTTCAGGTAGAGTTCGAAGTCACGATAGAATAAAGTATTTCCAAAATATAGTCAAATAAAGTTGTAACTCGCGTATCAACGATTTATATTGTTAAGACTCTGATTTCGCCGATGATGGTTTGGCTAGTCAGTGAATGACACAGTATTTATATCCCTCGCTTATGTCTCGAGGACCCAGTCTACTAATAATACAGAATACACTCGGGGCCTACCCGAGACCCTGAAAAACAACCAAGAACATTTTAACTCCTAAGTCCGTAACCCAAACTCCTAAAGCCGCTAAAACCCCTCAACCTTTTTATCCACTCTAATGCACGTTTCCTTGTCGATGTTTCTTCCCCATCGGCTGTCTGGTGGATAATCGTCAGCGTCGGCTATTCGGAGGTCTCGGACGGCAAGGCTACCTACTTAGGCCTCTTCCCACATCGCTTTCCCACATAGCAGAGTCCTCTCATGCCCACAGGTACCGCCGATAGGTACTCGGTCGGCTGGCAGCTTGCGCCGATTCGCTCCGAGCGGTCCGATCTTCGATCCGATTGATTCCAGCTGTCCCTCATATATCCACCGGTACCAAAACACTCCCCTCCGGCGGTTTGACGCTCCGGGGGTTATTATTGGGGTCGAAAACGTGTTTTTTATGACTCTGGGTTTTTGGTCGTAATTTGGTCGCACCACACTCCGCGAGTGTGGTCAAGAGTTGATATTAGCGTACAGAGGGTATTGGGGTATCTACTAGCCTTTCTCTCACTCCCGTAAATGCTTGGCATGCCCGTAACAGCTCACCCCCCTTCCAGGGTGTCACGTCTCGGGACATCTTCTGACCGACTATGGTTCCAGTAAACCTGCTCCACATATCACCCGCGGTGTCTGTGGAGGGGAAGGACTTAGCCCCGTAGGGTACCTCTATAGTCTCAGGCGTTGGTCCTTCACGGCCTTGGGGTTCCTTCGATGGAAGTCGCGGACAAGGTTAAGTACTTCCTCATCCATAGCGTCCATGACTTGATACGTACAGTCACTCATCGAATAGCCCCGCCATTTCACCAGGTATTCCACTAATCCTCTTCTGCTTTTCCGACTCCCCACGATACTTTCTACTTCGTACAGCACCTCTCCTTCCTTATCGACCTCTTCGGGAGTTGGGGGGCGTTGTTCACGGCCTGGGATACTGCTCTGTCGATACCGTTCCAAGAGTTCGATATGGAACACGTTATGGATTTTGACTTGCGGTGGCAGTTCCAGTTCGCACGCTCGTTTACCGGCTAGTCGGACAATTTTGAACGGGCCGAGTTTCTTATGATCGAGTTTCTTGGTAGAGCGACGAGTCTTGATGTTGGTCGCATTGAGCATAACCATATCTCCTACCTTGAAGTTAGGCGGTTCGTCCCTTTTCCGATCATAGTATTTCCCCATCTTCTCCCTAGTGTCTGTTAGGCGAGCGAGAGCATAGTCGTGAACTCCTCGGATGAAGTGAGCGTACAGGTCACTGGTTGGGTTGACCACTTCGGCTTCCGTCGGCCAGTTAGTTCTTGAGTTGTAGCCGTAATTGGTATAGAACGGAGATTGGCCCGTGGCGGTGGTAACCGAGTTGTTGTAAGCATACTCCGCCAACGGGAGTAGCTCTGCCCAATCATCTTGCTCGTAGTTACAAAACGCTCGTAAGTAGTGCTCGAGGGTTTGGTTGACTCGCTCTGTTTGCCCGTCGGTCTGAGGGTGAAAAGCCGTACTCATTCTTATCCTCACATCCAACAATTCCATAAGGGATGCCCAAAAACTTGAAGTAAACTTAGCGTCCCTGTCGGAAACTATATCGAGAGGCAGCCCATGGAGTCGCCATATTTGACCGAGGAATATCTTCGCTAAATCCTGTGCGGTCGTTTCTGTTACTAAGGGAATGAAGTGCGACATTTTTGAGAACCTATCGACTACTACCCAGATTTGATTGTATCCCTTTGATTCCGGTAACTGTACGACGAAGTCCATTGATATCGATTGCCAGACAGAATGTGGCGTGGACAGTGGTAGAAGCGCACCATACTTCTTATGGCGGCTGGGTTTGTTGCGCTGGCACTCGTCACATGACCGAACGTAATCGTCAATCCACTCATTCATTTTTGGCCAATAGAAGTTGCGCGTAATGAGTTCCAAAGTTTTGTCTTGTCCAAAGTGTCCTGCCACCTTCGAATCATGTTCTGACTGTGCAATTCGGATCTTGATACGGTCGTCTGCAGGAATGTAGAGTCGGTTCTTGTAGAAGAGTAGCCCGTCTTTCTCAGCGATATCCTTCATTTCCCCCAGCTTCTCTCCCTGCTCAACTCTCTCTTTCAATCCTACCCATATCGGGTCTCCCGATGCCGCCTGCCTGACATGATCCAGAAAATTCTTAGACCAGTCAATCACCCCCTTGGAGGCAAGCGACATCGCTGATACCACAAACTCTTCCTCCGCCAACTGTCCGGGCTTAAAGAACCTGTCTATCGGCTGTTTCCCAAGCGTGCCTCCCCCTTCAGGACGGTACTCCGGCCGTCGCGATAGTGCATCTGCCTTCCCATTTTTGGTTCCCGGGCGGTAAATAATCTTAAAGTCAAATTCCGTCAAAGACTCAGCCCATCTTGCCTGTCGTCGGTTAAGAACCTTGGTTGTTGAAAAATATTCCAAGTTCTTATGATCCGTGTAGACGAGGACCGTTCGGCTAGATCCTTCGAGGTAGTGACGCCATTGCTTGAAGGCTGACACGATTCCTAACATCTCCTTATCCCAGACGTCGTAGTTGAGTTCCGCTGGGTTAAGCTTTCGAGAATAAAAGGCAACAGGGTGAGTCTTTCCGTCAATAACCTGGGATAAAATTGCGGCGATAGCAAAATCACTTGCCTCCGTTTCCACGATAGTCTGGCGATCTGGAGAGAAGTGTACCAAGATCGGCGCAGACGTAAACAGGGTTTTGAGTTTTTCGAAGGCTGCTTGGGCCGTCATAGACCAGACAAAGTTCTTAGCATCACCCCTGAGACAATCGGTAATGGGTTTACAGACCCCGGAGAAATTGTGGATAAACCTTCTGTAGAAGTTGGCAAAGCCCATGAAGATCTGTACTTCCTTAACGCTGCGCGGAGCTTGCCAATTCGTAATAGACATAACCTTATCCAGTGCCATGGTGACGCCTGCTGGGGCAAGGATGTTGTTACGGGCATGCCAAGCATTTACGGGAGTGAGAGAAAAGGCTAGTAGATACCCCAATACCCTCTGTACGCTAACGTTATCTCTGGACCGCACTCGCGGAGTGTGGTGCGACCAATATACGATCAAAACACGGAGTCATAAAAAAACACGTTTTCGACCCCAATAATAACCCCCGGAGCGTCAAACCGCCGGAGGGGAGTGTTTTGGTACCGATGGATATATGAGGGACAGCTGGAATCAATCGGATTGAAGATCGGACCGCTCGGAGCGAATCGGCGCAAGCTGCCAGCCGACCGAGTACCTATTGGCGGTACCTGTGGGCATGAGAGGACTCTGCCATGTGGGAAAGCGATGTGGGAAGAGGCCTGAGTAGGTAGCCTTGCCGTCCGAGACCTCCGAATAGCCGATGCTGACGATTATCCACCAGACGGCCGATGGAGAAGAAACATCGACAGGGAAACGTGCATTAGAGTGGATAAAAAGGTTGAGGGGTTTTAGTGGGTTTAGGAGTTTGGGTTACGGACTTAGGAGTTAAATGTTCTTGGTTGTTTTCAGGGTCTCGGGCATGCCCCGAGTGTGTTCTGTATTTTTAGATTGGGTCCTCGAGACATAAGCGAGGGATATAAATACTGTGTCATTCACTGACTAGCCAAACTATCATCGGCGAAATCAGAGTCTTAACAATATAAATCGTTGATACACGAGTTACAACTTTATTTGACTATACTTTTGGAAATACTTTATTCTATCGTGACTTCGAACTCTACCTGAACTATTACGTCGAAGACGGTGGAATTCTATACGCTAACTCTAGTGAATCTTTGTTGATAACGTAGCTCGCGGGGCCCGTATCGGATCAAGGAGAATTATACTCGACGTTGACTGAAGAGACCTTGGAGACTTCTACCTTTGTAGCTGTTAGCCGAACTCTGAGCTCTGCGTAGTGTACTCTTGTGGTCTGGTACGCATCCCTCACAGTATATTGTTACTCACAAGTTCACTTGGAGTAACGAAGTCACCTCAAAAAGAAGAACTATCATCATTATCCCATATCACAATGACTACCCGAAGGGATAATTATTTCATAGATACCTCGGCCGTAACTGAGGAGGCCGGAGGAGAAGATTCTATGGTGATATCAAGGGCTGCTAGCCCAGACCCCCTACTTACGGGAGGACCCTCTACAACAACTAGGCAATCGAGTAAACGCTCTGCTCAAGCCCAGTTCGTGAGGAATATGCAGGAGTTTTTGGATACCCATGAGGCACAAATGAGGTATCTTGGTGCAGCTGGACAGGCCGTTTGGCAGCAGCTACAAAACCTCCAGGAGCAAGTCCAAGGGAGTGGACAAATCCTGGATAAGAAAGTACGGCAAGAAGCCATTGCCCAAAAACAACATCTCGAGTCGCTCTTTGAGCTCGTCACCCATGTCCAACAAATGCAAGAAACCGCACGAGCCGCCGACCATGAGGTTCTGGACCGTAACCATCGGATTACCCAGGACCAACTGTTGGAAGCGGAGCGACAACTGAGGATGGTACGAGAAGAGCGGGAGCAGGAGAAAGGGGAACAACGGGCTATGTT